CTTTTTATTCAAACGTTATTTTAATTGTTAATATTATTTATTTATTTTATTCTTTGGCCAGGGTGACTTAATTTATATTGTTTTATAGGATGCTATTTATTTATGGTTGTGAGCCGCCCCGAGGCTTTGGCGAATGGGGTGGCATAGAAGTTCCCTAAACAAATAAATAAATATGGGTTAAGGCCATTGTTGCTCAAGAAAGGTACACTGGCACATCAGGCTTAGCTGGGAAATGGTGTCCCTTGCTGCTGTGGCTCCAAGCAAATTAAGCCACAGTAGTAAACCAAATATTGCCCCACCCTCTGAACCTGTGCCTTTAGGAGAAGTGTGACCCCTTCTGAAAAAAAATACATTTATATAACTTGTTACCTGCAACTTGATAACCCATTATTAGCAGCATCATATCTAGATTGTCACTAAATTTGGTTTATCAGTGTAGGATATACATAAGATAATTTCTCACTAGGAGGTGAAGCAGGATTTTTTATTGGTGGCCTCCTATCTAAAGAATGCCCTCCCTAGAGACATTTGTCTGATGTCTACATTATGGTGGTACCAGATGAAGATTTTTATATGTATTATTCCAAAGGCATTTTAGGAACTGTTTTAGTGCTTTTAGATATTTGCATTGTGTCTTGGTTTGGTTATATCTTGCACTTTTAATTGCCATTGTTCTATTATCTTACATTTAATGTTTGTAATTTATCTGTACATCTGCCAGAGAATCTGGGTGTAATATATAATATTGAATGAGTAAATGCATGTGTGTTTTAAAATTGTATATAAAGGATGAATATATCAGCCCTCGCTGATAATTGGTTTAAGAGTGGTTCACCCAATTAGAAGATAAAATACAAAAAGTAAACCAGCAGAATAAAAGAGAACAAACAAGAAAAATGTTAAAAGCCCAACATTCAAAACCTTGGGAGAATAAAAGGTGTTCACCAAATGCCTAAAAGACAGTCATATTAGAACCAGAAGAGGCTTCTTGGCTAGGGCATTCCATAGGTGGAACACTAAGGCTGAAAAAGCCTCTAGAGCAAAATTCTTCTCACTGTGTAATGCCCTAGACTGAAAGTTAGTCTTATTTGTTATTTTTCTGTCAAGACAGACCCCAAATTCCACAAAGGAACCTAGATGTGACCTCTTTGTGTCTTAAAGAGCATTATATTAGCCTATTTGCACTTGAGCATCTCTTTTCCTGCGATGCACTGCTCTTCTGTTGGTGTTCCTTCATCCTATCAGTGGTTGCTTCAATTCCCAGAAAGTTTGGCTGGTAAAAGGTGGATGCTAAACCAGAAACAAAAACAAAATCACATGCTGAATGTTTCTGACACAGACCTTCAGTACTACCAAGATAAAAACCTAGGAAAATTTGTTATTTGTTTTTCGACGCCAGGTGAAGACCTTTTTCTTTAAATGCCATTTTAATTGTTAATATTATTTACTTATTTTATTTTTATGGCCAGGATGTCTCCAATTATATTATATTGTTTTATATTGTTATTCTTTATTTATTGTTGTAAGCCGCCCTGAGGCTTCAGCGAATGGGGCGGCATAGAAGCTTTCTAAATAAATAAATAATAAATAAATAAATATCTTAATGCGAATGCCAGCAGCTGTGGAAAGAAAAAAGATTCAGCTCCTACATGTTGTGTTTATATTATCTCATCCTATCTATATGCTGTAACTGGCTTGTGATCTGAAGACTGAGTGGCTGCTTTATTTTGATTTCATTAAACTGCTAAGGGCAATATACCAATCCTAAAATACTATTTTAAACCTGCTGTTCCTAACAAATGTAACTGAAAGGCTGTGATAAAATATTGCTTTTAAGAAACTCCACACACACAACCCTGATGCATCACAAGCCACTGTTATACTTTATAGGAATGCAATCTAAATCAATTATATATTTGGAAGGTTTCCTAGAGAGAAGCTATGAAAAGACATGCTTTTGGCAAATAGTGCCAACATGTTTTGATCAAAGAAATACAGCACTCCAGGACCTTGGAATACAGTGAACCTGCCTACCCTCCAAGGCAGGAGTCAAACCTCTAACCTTGGAGGCCTGGATATAATTTCAGGTCCCCTCTTCCAGATTGTGTAAATTTCTGCATTATTCATTTCCACAACATTTGAGCATCACAGCTGAATAAGGACCTGATTGTGGTAGCTCCACAGAATCCAAAGCCTTCCTGGTTTCCGAGCATACCACCAATACATGAGACCCAGCAAGCACACAGGCTCCAATGTTGAAGAGCTCTGAATTGATAGATAGGATTGCAATACTTTTCTTCATCATCATCTTCTAATCAAGCTGTACAAACTAATAAGCTTTCAAAGAGCTTATGGACCTCAGATGGTAATGGGGTCCATATGTACCCCAACTTCAGGGAAGAGGTCTTTGCTATTCCCAACAGGACCTGTTTATCAGGTGCATGAATGTGCCATGGTCAGGAAAGCATAACAAACAACACTGGGAACTGCCATTATTTCCTGTTATTTCCCAAGGCAATGGTAGCTGGAAAGATGGAGAGAAGGGAATTTTAAAGTAAATTGGAATTTTAGGTTTTATACTGCCACCAGCAATAATGCTATTGATGTGTATACCAGACATTTTCTTTCAGTGCTTAATAAATAGAAGACATGTCCACATCCCCATGTGGGAGTGGCACTTTAAGCTGCCCTGTGTGAGAGACAGACTGACAGAAGTTTGACTAAAAGGAAAATGTTTGCAATCTTTCCACATAGTAATTTTTGTTTCTTGTTATATAAATGATCAAGCACTTGAAATGGGTATAAGAAGAGGTATTTTAGTAATATATTTTACTATATGTTTTTATTTCTTAATTCAAGTGTTACTCACTTTGGACCCAGAAGGTAGAGTCAATTATAATCCAAGATGCTCCTTGTGCAAGGGATAAGAACAGCAATCATGTGGAGCAGTTCTGCATAAATCCAGGATTCAGAATGTGTGGTTTATAGTTTCACCAAATCCTAATGATAGAATCATAGCCCCATAATTCACAATTACTTGTTTACTCTCTATATAATACCTCTAAATGTACTTGACCTGTATAGTGGAGGGGAACGTGAAAACATGATCAGTGGTGGGATATAAATCCCAAATTCACATATAGTGACCATTATTTGCTGGCTGTTAGAGGTCATTTTGGAGCATGTGTGTGTACAGTGCTTTAACTCTCATGACAGCAGATTCCAGGCTGAACAGAAATACTGTTTATTTTTATTTTATTAATACTTTGTAAAAAATGGAGATGTAAGTATGTCTTTGGGGAACATTTGAGTTCTGCAAAATACTAATTAAGGACTCTCTAAGTGTGTTTTGAAACCCTGTTCTTAAATACTGTTACTAGGGAGAAAATCCCTTTTGTTTCTGTCAGACTTGCTTCCAAAGAAATATGCATAGTCAGGAGCAAGGCTTATTCTGAGTGAGGGCTCAACCCTACAGCATATATTTATATCAAAGATAAGTAAATTAGTAGAAATGAAGGGTACCGCTGAGCAAGTCTAGAAGTCCTGGCAAGTCTAGAGTCTATTTTCCTGGCAACTGAGTAACCTCAACCATATATCCATACATTTGGGAGTAAAGATTAAGGGGTGTTAGCAAGATTATGCAGTGGGTGTGCAAGAGGATCTGTCCATAGTCTCTCAGCCATTGCAGCAGTATTTAAGCCATGTATTTAAAAAAGAAGATGGAGGAAGAGGAAGAAGAGAAGGGAATGGTTTCTGGCTGGGTTCCTAGAATTCAGATTTTAATTAGGTATATAATTTAGATATGGAAGAGCATGCAATGGATATGGTTAATTCATAAGCATCCATGGAATGAAATAAACTAGGTGCAGGTCTGGTGGGGATCCTAAGTGAGGACCTACTTTTGTAATGTGCTCACACAATGCAACAGCTGCTTGATAGGAACTGCTCTTGTGATGTAGCTCCCAAGATTCCATTATCATCTAAGAGTGGGGCTGACTGGGGGTAAGATCAGAAAAAGGCACAGCTGTACTCCAGGAAAGACAGTGAATAATATGAAAAGCAGGTAACTGGGGTGGGGTGGGGTGGGGTGAATCAAAATGTAGCAGCAGCATCAGTGCTGGCTCCATTTTTGAGGGACCTTGGACAGCAAGACTCTCTCAATGGGCCCTCTCCCTCAGTTTGCCCCTTCTCACTGCCTTTGTTACCACCAGCTCTTGCTTCTCACTCTCTTTCTCTTTGTTGCTACCACTTGCTTGCTTGACAGGCCAACACCCAGGGAGCAAAAAGGGGGTGGCATCCCCTGCTCTTCTTCACCATCTCCACTGCCTGGGCCACAGGGAGAGGCTGGTGGGCAAGCAGATTACAATGGTGAATGGGTGCAGCAACCCCAGGGGGCTCCTGCTACTGGGGTGCAGGACCTCAGTGGGTGCCTGACCATATATTCCCTTGACATCAGCCCTGTCCATGTTTGTAGGGGGAAACCCACCAAAATCATTGGGGTTTACAGACATGTACAGAATTGTTTTTAACACATATAGAATTGCACCTATTTATGGATTTTGAAAGCAAGTGAACACTAAAATGCATATTTAAAATATCTACTTAAAAAGCATTTTTATAAACAGCAATTCACAAACATGCAAAAATGAAACAGAACAGAATAGTGGACTGGAAATATGCACAGATTTGTGCGTCCCTTTTTAGATTTTAAGCAAGAGTGCAGAATATCTTTGCCAAATTCTACTTTGTAGAAGTGCTTGAGGGTGCATTGCAGCAGAAGGTATGGACAAAGCCAAAAGGGACTTTAAATCTCACAAAGAACCAGCATATTTTAGCTGTCTAGTGACTTAAGAATTAGGAGAAGCAGTTCAACCTTTTAGAATAGTTAAAAAAACACACCTGCACTGAAATATAGGAAGCTACCAAATAATTGTTGGGGAAAGGGAGGGTCCCTTTTGGAAATCCATGGGAGAGAGATTGGATTTGCTCTGCAGGCCTGAGGTTTGCCAACCATTTTTAGACCCTAGCCCTAATTATCTCAGGAAAGGGCAGGGGGCTTTAGAAGATGGGGAAAACACCCAACAATGCTTTCCACTCCTCTCCACCTCTGCAACCTTGATATGCAGGAGTAACACAACCAAACTAAAACCTATTAGCCAATCCAGAAGAGATACAAAAAAGGACTATTTTGAACACACGCATTTGCCACTCACTCACATCATAAACTCACTTAAACAATAGCACTGCCAGGACTGAAGGAATAAAACAACTTGCTTCTGCTGCCCTGATGCTAAACACATTTACTTGTGAATAAGCACCATTTTGTTGTTACAGTAAATTCATAAATGATATTTTCAAGTAAAAATAATGCAATGAACATCTGTAACCATGATCATGCCCAGTTGGCTGCCCAAATGTTTCAAGATTAGAACAAAGTGTGCTGCTGCATCAGCCTGCCATCTGCCCTGCTGAGCCTTAGAATGCTCACAATACCCCCGGACCAGTTGGCCACTGCCAACTTTTGATGGTCATCTGGAGGGCCCTACACATGGCATGGATCCTACACATCATCCTCAAGGTCCAGCACCAGGGGCAGAATAAGGAAGCTTGCTCAGGCAGATGATTTGGATGCCATGAAATGGACAGGAAATGCTGTGGTATGATTGCCATGCATCCTCAGTGCATGCAGACCTTTGGACTTGGAAGCTTACATGGAGCCTATGTCAGGTGATCTTGCTGCTGCCACCCCTCACGCCAAATATTGTCTCTAGATGGCCATTTTCAGCCTTCTAGATTTAGTGCCAGGGAGCAGGAGGGAAGGAACTGAAATGTCAATTGAAATCAGTGTAAGCTGGTAGGTCCAACCTCCTCCCCTGTCTATTCCTGGCACACACCTCCTTCCCCACCCCCAAAACTCATCTGTGATCTTGCTAGGGGGTCAGCCAGTGCAGTTCTTTCTGTGCCAGCTGCAAGAGGAGCAGGATGAGGTCTTGGCCTTTGGCATCCCAACTGGAAGGTTGCAGAACCTCCAAGTTTCGACTCTACACATTGTTGGGAGGCCATAGAATTTTGCCCTAAATTATCTAAAGTAATATTGATTTTTTTACTGGCATGGATGTTTGTTGGCTCACCACTGCATGATCTTTTGGATAATAACTCTAAAAGAACTTAGGCAAAATATGTTCACCCCCTTTTCATTGCCTCCTTTTCTGGTTCATACCCTTATATGATCTGGTAGGAAACAATGCTTTTTCATGTATCCCACTGTTAAAATGGATCTTTGAATGGGTGCCAGAAAATTTGAACCCATTGTGTTTTGTGGGTTAAAAAAAAAAAAAAAACAATATGAGGGCATTGGAGCATGGAAAGGAGAGGATGAAATGTTATTCATGAGTAGCTCTCGGTCAAATTGTGCCTACAACAGCCATATCAAAACAGTTGATTTAATATCTTTTTATTCTTTAAAAGAATTAACTTGAAAGGTCACATTAAGGCTCATTCCATCAGAGACATATCTGGGAAAATATCTCGATACACATCAGTTCCCATCCGAGAGATTTTCAGAGCTACTGTTCTCTCTGAGACTGTTAAAACTGTATTGTCCAAATTCAATGTTGCATAATAATTTAAAGTTTAGCCTACTACTTTCCCAGAACCTGCAAAAGTGACCCAGTCCTCCCTTGCTGCAATCTGTGATCCCAAGGGAGATTACTGTTCCAGGAGAATTTTGGCTGAAACATTAGAAAGCTAATGTGGTGCTGGACTAGGGCTGGCAAGATCCAGGCTCTAATCTTTCCTTAAGCCTTACTAGTGATCTTTCCAGTCACCTTCTTTTCAGCCTGACCTACCTCACAAAGCTGTGGGGAGGATTAAATTGACATGTGGGGAAGAAATATGCCCTGTTAAGCTCCATAGAGAAGATGTAAGATATAAGCACAATAAAGCCAATAACGAGAAATATGTGTTTATAACCTGTACGAAAATGAACAAATCATAGAAATTCCTCCTATTATCTACAGCAGTCAAAGCACAGTAACAGCCAACAGTCTTTAGTGCCCAAGGATCTATCACATCAAAGCTGTACTTTTCACCTTCTTGTTTCTCCTCTTTAGGCGATCCTGCCAAGCCCTGCTTGCCTTTGATTATGCTGGAACTATGCAAAGACACAACAGGAACCAGGTTATTCATATTGTTGGAAGTAAAGTGTGGCTTTTGTGCTACTTCTTGCATAATTAGGAAAGGAACTGAAACTGATGCTGCCAAAATCTTCCTCTATAATGCAATCCCACTAAGGACAGTGTGCACAGTCCTGATCCCCACACTTAAAAAAGGAAATTGAGAGCTGGAAAAAATGCTGAAGGGACAACTAAAATCATAAAGGGGGTTGAGAAACTTTCCTATGAGGAAAGATTACAACAGCCAGGTTTGTTTAGCTTGACAAGGTTTGTAAGGGGAGGCATGATTGACATATATAATATTATACATGGTGTAGAGAAAGTGGATAGAGAGATATTTCTCTCTCTCTTTCATAAAACTAGAACCCAGGGTCATCCCATGAAGCTGATTGATTGGAGATTCAAGACAGATTAAAGGAAGTACCCCTTCTCACAGCACATAGTTGAACAGTGGAATTCGCTTCCACAAACTGTAGTGATGGCTAGGGATGTGTGAGGAATTTGCTTTGTGGCTGGGAATCCATTTGATCCCTAAGCTCAGCTCTCCAGAGTCTGGCTTACACCCTGGAGAACATGCTAAGCATTTGCATGGGCGCTGCCAGGAAGTGAGCCTGTGTGAACTTGTGCAAATGGTGTGTGTCCCTCTTCTGTTCACATGACCTGCAGCATTTGTGACCTGCATGTGCTGCAGAAGCTCAATGTTTGCACAAGTGAACTTCCACAAATGTTCACAAACTTCCTCTTGGTTTGGCTCACTTCCTAAATGAGGTCCAAGCATGAGAAGAAGTCTGATGAACTGAAGAGGACTGGATTCCAGGGAGGATTGTGAACCCTAGTGATGGCCACCAAATGGAAGGGCTTTAAAGAAGGACTGGACAAACTAACATGGTCAGGAAGGTTCTGTTGCACTAATGTCCTGCTTATCGATTGTCAGAGGGCCACTGGAATACAATGCTAGACTAGATGGGACTTTGGTCTGATCCAGCACGGCCCTTCTGAATGTTCATCTTGAACTTGGATTAAAAAAAAAGTTAGTCTCAATCTTTGTATGCATTTTTGTGTACACTTCTAATATTTGCATTTTGTATGCAATGTTGTCTAACACTGCATATTGTGGAGCAATTTTGAATGCAATATACTTGAATGTTATTTTTATGAATATGCACATTTTCTATGCACCTTTCCTTAATATATGCAGTTTTGACTGGAGAATCCATTTTGTTGTAAGAAAATTTGTCACACAAGACAACACAAGGGGATGTGTTTACAGCATGAAACTGAAGAGCAAACAAAACATCAACTCTTGCATCCAGGGAAACCTATGTGCACTGGGTCATCTAGAAAGCACTTTAAAAAAAAAACATTTCCCTCACAGTCTAGCCATCTCATGCACATTTCATCCTGCCTATATGGGAATATGGATACTTTATTTCTTTCAAAGAAAAATGAAAATTGCAAATTGGGGTTTTACTTGCTTTTACATTTCCCTCCTCTATTTTAAATTATGCTTATTCACCCATACATTCGCTCCCTGAGTATTCATTTAGAAGGAAGGTTTTGTAATAGTCACATTTAATTTATCAGGGTGCAATAATTTGTGTTTCCCAATCATCTTGCAGACTTTGGTTCATTATACTATTGTTTCACATGAGTAAGTTAGCAAAGTTTGGATTGATTGACTCTAATTAACTAAAACTGGTTCCAGGCTGTGCTTCTATTGTTATGGTAGCTAGCCACAAAGCCCCAAACTGTTCCATAACGGCATTATAAGGTAATATCAATATGAAAACACTAGCTAAATTTTAACATTGATTTATATTTTTTGAACAGAGATAAGTGATGTGGAAGAGGATGGGGCAGTTCTAGTCAAAGTAATTCACACCTAACTTTAATAATGGGATTTTCCCTTCATTGCCGGTATATATATTCTTATGAACGCATCCCTGTCTGAAGATGAGATACCATATTTTACACCAAGGTACAGAACTACTGTGCTGTTGTTGTTCCTATGCTCTCAAGTTGTTTTTGACTAATGGCAACCCTATGAATGCAAGCCCTCAAAAATGTTCTATCCACGACATACCTCCTTATTCCCCACACCCACCCAACCCTTGGTAATCTAGAAGATGTCGGTGGGTATGGCTGCATCCACTGACTGTTTCACTGGACCCCTGGGCATTGTGCATTTTTTGTGTTAGGAGAAAGGGGCCCTGAGTTTGTGCAGTACTCCCTATGGATGTGGTTTGCCATGCATGGAATGACTCAGGTGGTGTTCAGTGGAATGGAGATTTCCTTTCCCTGGCAGAAACCCAAGGGGGCTGCAAGCTGCAAGTTCTACATATCTTGCTTGAACACATAGGTTTGGGTACAGGCCCAAAGTGTGACTGGCCCAAAGACACCCAGTTAGCTCCATGGATGAGCAGGAACTAGAATCCACTCTCTTAAACACTACACCACACTGGCTCTCATTACAACATTTAATGGATGTGAGTATAAAATAAATTTAAAATATGAGGTTTTAGCCAATGTTCATCCTACTTAGAACAGATTCATTGAAATGAAAAAGAATTAGGATAGTCATGTCTAACCTAAGTCCTTTTTGTTTCATTGGGACTCCCCTAAAGAAGACTAATGCAATGCATAAGAGATAAATTCTGAGAGTATATACAATTACCTCTTTAACAGAGCCAAGTTGGACCCATGCAGTTTACTCTATAGGTTCAGACAACCTCAGCACTGTTGCTTCACAGCCAGCACACTAATGCAGTGTGGAAGCCAGGCCTGAATGTCTTCTTAGTTCTCAGTGTACTAGCTAACAGTTCAGATTGTCTTGATACAGATTTAAAGAACTTAGTATGAAAGCAACCTGCTGAGTAATCACAGCTACCAAACAGTGCAGCACCAAAAGAGATCCAGGAGAACAAATTGTTTTCTTCATGTTATTTTAGCATTTCTGCTAAACTCAATCCAGAGTTGATGATGACAATTGTTCAGGAGACCATTTAGGTGGGGAAGTGCTTGCTCAAGTGTTCAGTATAACCTATAGCCTTTCTTAAGAAGCAGGATTGTAACTCAAGAAGACTTTATTAAATTGCGCAAAGGTAAAGGAATAAAATATAGTTCAATAGCTAAAGGAACACAACACAACACAGCATGACATAGCATAATATGTGTTATCTTGTCTGAGCTTAGTAATGGACTGGATGTGGGCCAATAAGCTGAAACTCAGTCCAGATAAGACAGAGGGACTGTCGGTGGGAAGTCCATCTGTTCAACTGGGAAATTTCCAACCTATTCTGAATGGAGTTGTGCCCTAAAGGATAATGTTCACAGCCTTGGAGTACTCCTGGAGTACTCAACAAGTTGTTGCTTGTTGCTCAGGTGGGCTTGGTCTCCAGGAGTGCTTTGTATCAGCTCTGGTTGATAAATCAGCTGCATCCCTACTTGGACAAAGCAGAGCCTTGCCATGGTTATCCATGTGCTGGTAACACCCCACTTGGAGCACTGCACTGTATGTGGCACTGCCTCTGCAAATGGTCCAGATCTTGCAACTTCTCCATAACTGGGCAGCACACCTGCTGATTAGGACCAGTTCCCATGAACATATCACATCAATCCTATGTAGGCTACATTGGCTGCTGGTTTTTGTCTGGCCCAATTCAAGCCCTAAACGGTTTGGAGCCGGGTGATGAGGGAGCGTTTTCACCATATATACCAGCCTGTTCACTGTGGTCCTTGTCTGAAACCTTCCTTCGCATTCCTCCCCTTAATGAAGTGAAGGGGGAGATTGCAAGGAGGAGGCCTTTATAAAGTATAGTACTCCAACTTTTGATCCAGTTGGCGCCCATGCTTTTGGCCCTTAGGCACCAACTTAAGACATATTTATTCCACAGTTACTTTAACAGATGAATTCATGACTCTTAATGAGTCAAGAGTAAAGATACAATTTTTAATTGTAATTTTGTTGCTTTGCAATGTATCATTTTAATGCTGTCTATGATTTTATCTAGATGTAAGCTGACCAGACAGCCTATCACTAGTGAGGTGGCATATGAATAAAATAAATTAATAAATAATATCACAGGCCTGAAATATATAAAAACAGCCGTATAATCTTAAACTAAAGAACAGGAGAATATGATGTTTTTTACCTGGCATAAAAAAATAACCATGTACATGCCCGGTGAACCTCTTTAGGGAGGTCATTCCATAAATGGAGTGCCACAGTGGTGGAGGTTCACTCTGTTTTATGTCATTTCTTCTACAGCCCACTGTACCCTTGGGTTTCCAGTTAGTGGCCACTGCCCAAAATGCCTTTGACCAACTTCACTGATTCAACAGTTGTTTCCTCTACTGTTTGTTTGTTTATAAAATTTGTATGCTGTCCAATTATTTGCGTCTCTGGATGGCTTACAACTAAGTAAATTGACAACCCACTCTGGCTGCAAGTTAATAAAATACAACAATAAAATACAATATTAAAACATATTAAAATATTGATTAAATAAAAAGGTCTTAACCTGGTGCCGCATATTCCTTAGTCTGGGTGCCACTGCAGAGAAGGCCCTCCTCCGGGTACTCTGTCTTCTAATGTCTTTCAAAGAGGGTTCCTGGAGGAGGGCTTTTGTTGCCAATCTCAGGGGGTGGGAGGGCAAATAGGGAAAAAAGCGTTCCTTTAGGTATCCTGGTCCCAAGCCATTTAGGGCTTTATAGTTAATAACCAGCACCTTGAATTGAGCCCGGACTTCAATGGGAAGCCAATGGAGCTGATAGAGGACTGGGGTTATATGAGAATAACGCCCAGTCCCTGACAGCATCCTGGCAGCTCTATTTTGAACCATCTGAAGTATCCGGACTGTCTTCAAGGGAAGCCTCACGTAAAGCACGTTACAGAAATCCAACTGGGAAGTAACCAATGCATGTGTTACTGTTGCTAGGCAATCCTCCTCCAGGGATGGATTAGCCGAAGCTGAAGGAAAGCGATCCTTGCCACCGCTGTCACTTGGGCTTCCAAGGACAGCTCCGGGTTGAGGAGCACTCCCAAACTGCAGATGCTGTCCTTTAGAGGGAGTGCAACCCTGTCCAGGGCAAGGCCTAAGTCACCTACTCAGGAGCTCGAATCACCCACCAACAGAACCTCCATCTTATCTGGATTGAGCTTCAGTTTAATCCAGATTCCGCCTTCCTTGGTGTTCCACCTTTCTTGGTGATATCATTAAATTCCAGACTCTAAATACTAAATTCCACAGCAACTCTGTTCAAGAGGAGCTTCAGCTGGTACTGAATGCCATTGTTCATGTATTGATGTGTGTGAACTGGTGAAAACATTATACATCTTTTCTCAAGGCCTTCATGCTGCTTAATAGCTTGCCCCTAGGCAGTGCTGAATTTGTCCATTAAAGTCCTGTGCAGTCTAGATCAGGGGTTCCCAGCCTGGGGTATCAACACCCCCAGGAGGTAAGAGGTGGTATTTGGGATAAAGCTTTTTGCCAAAAATTATCCCCAAGATGAAATTATTATTATTTTGTTTGAATTTGGATTCAATTCTCTTTTGTCAATCAAGACAAAATCTAGGAATCACCTGAATTCACAGGCAGTCTTACAGATCACATTCAGCAAGAAAGTTTCATGTTCTGACAAAATCATGAATGAGAAGTGGGAACAAAGAAATAATTGAATTGTATGTTCACAGTTGGGATTGATTTTACTGCTTACGTTTTCTTTCTAATTGCTCAATTTATATTTGAATATTATGCACTGAGTTAAAAGCTTTTTTTTAATTCAATTCGTTCATCTGCAGTCCTGTATGTGGTTCAATTTGTGGTTCAAAAATTAGAAATTTGACTTCTACAGCTTCAAATGTGATATTACTTCTGTAGCAGGTATAAACATAAATAGAAAATTTTATAGGGATGTGGGGCATAGAAAAGATTTGGAATCACTAGTCTAGACTCTGGACATGTCAAAGACCACCTTTTCCTGTATGATTTCCCCCAGGGTTTTAATGCCTACTAATAATCTTCTCCACTCCATCCATGAGATAACAGTCTGTGAGGAACAGAGGATTCTCTGCTGAGACCCTGAAACTCCTGGCATTCTCTTTCTTCCCTTGCCTCTTTTTGAAAATAATCTAGGTTCTAAAGCATAGATATTCTATCAGCTATTTGAAAATTGATCTTGTTTTGCAGCTGCTTTCACAGGCTCAGTAAGTTTGGGAAAGCATTTTCACTGTATTTTGGTATTTTATATACTTTATTAATGTGTACACCACATTTTGAACCTACTTTTAAAAATGTTTTGTAGATACAGTGAGGATGGAATCCCTTGCCCTCCACTTTAGGTACACGGAAGCCTCTAGGAAACCTAAGTGCATCCAATGTGCGGAAGGAAGCACCACCACCACACCTTGTGGCTATTCATCTAGTGACTATTTGTGGACATTAGATGATGCCCTGGGGAGGGGAAGCAGCTGAGACAGTAACTGAAAAGGGTGTCGCACTCTGGAGAGATTCCCAGGCATGCACAAGAAGCTGACTGTTTTGGTGGGACTGATAGCTCAGAGTCTGAGGATGATGGCGAGTTGGCTGAACCAGTCGAGGCTCAGAGCGCAAACTCTGATAACGAGATTGTTGTGGTAACGGACAGGCTTGCACCTGCAGGCCCAATCTCTCAGTCCCAGTCTGAGCCTGCTCTGGATGACAGTAGCTCAAGGACACCCTTGGGGCCCAGTTTCCCTGCTGGTGAAGGAGATGAAGGACCAAACCATCCTGAGGGAGGAGATTTGGAAATGGGTAGTCTCAGATGAAGAAAGCCAGCCTGCTGGAGAGGTGGACCAAAGGGCATGTCATCACAGCCACAGGGTGACCCAATTAGGGGCTCGGAGTGCAGAACGCAGGCATGTCTGGTTCCACAGCACCCCTCCTTCCAGGGACAGGCCCCTAAGGGTTCATA